CCTCGGACTGTGCTTCATAGCCTTGCATAGGCTTGTACTATATTTATTGGGTACAGGATTCCGCATCGACTACGGACTGGGGCACAGTACTAGCACGACTCGGTCTGACTTACTTATTAGTATCATAGCCTCCTGCGGCTGCGCATGTATGTACTATATAAGGACGACCCTAGTAGAGGGGAGTTCTTTAACCTATTCATCTCTGATTTACCTCGTCTATCTACTCGTACTTGAACTAGTCCTTTCACCAGGACTAGCTTCCCTCATCGATACCTAGAACCTTTGACTGTGTAGAATCGCCACTACACCAGACCTTTGACCTAGAAGCAAGGCTTCTTAGAACACGGCCGATCGCACCTGTGATAGCTATCACACCTGCACCAGAACGCGCGTCCACTCTTGAATCTCTATTCAAGCCTGGACATTACATTTGAATAGGTTCCCCAGCCGTCGACACCTCGACCTTCTCCAGGAAGGTCATTCGCCGTCACCACGGGTGATCACAGAGAAGACGTCCCAGTTGGCGTCTACCTACCACCGCATACCAATTGGAGAACTTACGGAGAAGAAGGCCAAGGAGATTGGGCCACAACACAGAGACCACCAGGAACCCGGTTCACAGAGAAAAGCTACTATTGGATCAAACTAGTAAACAAACACTGGTACTACGACGACACTGGTGAAGCACCATACAACGGAATAGAAGTCCCTAACTCCCAGTACAACGACCCACGAGGATTCAACGAACGAATCCCCTGGCACATCCAGAAACCTCAAGGAGCATACTTCGACAAAGACCTCAAGCTTTGGAAGGTCAGAAGACACATCAACCGAACTCGCGCTGAAACAGAAGATCAGCACCAGCCCATATTTGCCAAGAACAACGTTTGGTACTTTGTCAACGCACCAAACACCCCTGTAGTAGCAGGAACAGAGCCAACAGCCGAGGAAGAACCACAGACACCTGCTGAAGAAACAGCACCACCTCCTCCACCGCCAAGGTCACCGTCACCACCACCACCTAGGCCAATCAGCCCAGCAGCATCAGACATGTCTAACAACGACGTCAAGATCAACCCGCCGAAGGAGTTCAACGGAAACAGAGACGACACCTTAGAGTTCCTCACAGACTGTGAGAACTTCATCAATACACTTGGAACCGCCAAATTCGACACCGACACCAAGAAGATCGCATGGACCCTGTCGTACCTCAAGGGAGGAAGCACAGGACCATGGAAGATCTCTTTCATCGAAGGACATCCCACGGGATACGGAACATGGACCGAATTCAAGGACAAGTTTAAAGAAGTATTCGGAACCATAGATCATGAAGCCAAGAACCGCTTCGCCCTCATGAACCTCAGACAAGGAAACACTTCAGCAGACGACCACGTCGTGAAATTCCGAACGTTGATTGCCAGATCAGGCATCAATGACAACGTTTCACAAACCACCTTGTTCCAGGCTAGCCTGAACGACGCGTTAAGAGCCAAGATATACAGCCACGACCCGTTGCCTACCACTATTGAAGAATGGTACAACAAGGCTTCCACACTCGACCATCAATGGCAATTCGCCAATTCCATGAAGGGCGGCAGCGGCTTCAGAAGCTCTAGACCTACCAGAGACACCAAGGTCAGGGCGGTCAACCTTAATTTCGCGGAACGCCAGAAGTACATCAAGGAAGGACGGTGCTTCCGATGCGACAAAATCGGACACCGCGCCAACAACCCTCAGTTCCACCCGCGAAGCGAAGCTAGACCTTTCAACCAGGGCGGACCCCGCCCCAACACGTTCCAAAGGGGCCTGGGACAACAGATCCGCCAGACAACTGCTGCGCACCCACAGGAAGAAGAACCTCCTCAAGAAGGCACGGCTATTCAAGAACTCTTACGTAAGATTCAGAACATGAACACCGAAGATCAGGACACTGTCCTCGAAATGTTCAACGACATGGAAAACCCTCAGGGTTTTTAGGACGCCCGTCTTTTGCGACGCAATTACGGGCGAAGTTACGTTTCCCTCATGATGTATTAATTCGGGCTAGCAGCCTATTTATTCGTGCTAACGCTGCTCAGCAATCTATGCGATTTCCTATTTACATCAATGGAGGAAACAAAGACGTCGAAACCAAGGCTTTAATCGACTCAGGAGCCACCGGATTATTCATCCACTGGAATTTTGTCAAGAAACATCGGATACCAACCAAGGCATATGCGAAGCCTCGCATAATACGAAACGTTGACTCTTCCCTAAACGTGCTAGGGAAAATCACCAACTATGTCGAAACCACGATCACCATCGGAGACCACGAAGAACTGGTCCACTTTTCAGTCACGGACCTAGGAGAAGACAATGTCATTCTCGGACTCCCATGGCTACGGAAGCACAACCCGGAGATCGATTGGGCCAAAGGACGAATGTTCCTTAAACGATGCCCTCTCAAGTGCCAACTACTCATGAAGCGGAAGCGACGACAATCCAAGAAACCCGCCAAAGTGATTCGCCCTCACAAAGCGGCTCAGATCAAGGGAGGGATGAGGAGAGGACCAGTTCACATCGAACCTCCCACACTTTTTGCCAAACGAATCAAGGCAAAATTAGAGAACCATCATGCGAAGATGAAGAAACAGGAACAAGAACGACAACAACAGGAGCACCTTCGATCCTTCGGGATCGAAGAAGGAGACGAACTATGGTGGGGATTAGAAACAGAAGAAGAAGAGATTATCAGACGAGCCTCCAGATCTACGGAACTCGCAGAAGAAGCCAACAAGGGGAAGAGAGACAAGACTTTCGAGGAGATCGTACCGGAACCCTACCGATCATTCTCTAAAGTCTTCAGCGACGAAGAATCCAAACGATTCCCCACATCCAAACCATGGGATCACCACATTGACCTCAAACCAGACGCTATTCCACGAACTACATGCAAGGTCTATCCCCTAACACCTCAGGAACAAGAAGCTTTGGACGAGTTTCTCAAGGAACACCTCGAACGCGGAACCATTCGTAAATCCAATTCGCCACTCGCATCAGGCGTACATGTAGAAACATTACAATGTCAGCCGGGATCTCCGTGCACTGACATTGTAATGTGAGCCAGAACCTCTGGCTGCTTCTCAGGTGCTGTTCTCATGGGATCACATTATAATGTGGCTTCCATGCTTCTATTGCATACCGTCCGCTTTTGGATTAATACTTTATTGATTATTGATTCGGCCTTCCTTTTCCTGCCTTATCCTAGGGTTTCACCGTGATTGGGATGTGGCACTGGCTGCTACTGGAATTCTCCCTGCTCCCTGCCCCTGCTCCCACCCTGCTCCCTTCCCATTACACTTCATTTTGAGCATACTAGTATATCATAATAAGTTTTATGAGCATGTACAGAGCAAATCTTGAACATATCCTGCCATAAATGCCCTGCATATATTTCGAAAAATTAGCTGTTTTTGTGTGGCCCAAATGTGGCCCAAATCCTCTACCCTGCTCCTGCTCCTGCTAATGCTCTGGCAGTAGGATGATTTATATTATGTATATTTTGGTATACTAATATGAGGTAGATATCAGTGTAGAACTGCTACTATGTACTGTCCCTCCTAAAAGTCTGAACAAAGTTCGCTTTTTGTGTGGCCCAGGTGTGGCCCACCTCTTTCCTACTCCTGCACCTTTCTGAAATGGATACACATCATCATAGATACATATACTGCCTCAGAATAGTCATAAATTCGTTCCTGAACACCTTTATTAGCTCTGCTCAGACTTAGAATGACCAAAAAAGTGTTTTCAGGGGTGTGGCACCAGGGGTACATCAGTTCCCTGCCTCAAAATATATTACAGCACAGGCATACAAGTGTAATACTTGATCCATTGGAGAGATATATATGAGAAGCCAAGACTAACACAGATATAGAGCAGTACCAGAGCATGAACAAGCAGGACATGCTGATGTGGCCCACATTACACTATACAGAAATTCGATAAAAATCGGATTTTAATAAAGAAAGGGGGTTTAGACTAAAATATATATGATAATAGTGTACTAATTTTACATTGGGGCGTCTACAACAGTAAGATCAGAGAGAGAGTCCAAGGAAAATGAAGCTGCACAACCCCTAGTACTCTTGTGCCACAGCTACTTCCAGCCATCAATTGCGGGAAAAATACGGAAAATGCCGGAAACACCTTCCAATTTTGGTAGGTTGAGCGTTCGGGATGCCACAGCAGGGCCACAATCGCCCCGGTGTTGAGTCGATGTAAATACATTGAGCTGTAATAAAATACTGCAAAAAACAGAATTATAATTAGAATGAGAGCCCCTGAAAACCTACGAAAAGTTTGAGCAAAAAGGAATGCTCTGAGGGTTTGAACTGAGAAGTGCCCTGCAAACCTGAGTTTGAAAGCGTTCAGTGGCTTGAACTCGTCTCAACTTCTTTGGCTTCTCCTTCTTCTCAGCCACCATGTCCTCTCCTTCATCTCCTTTCCCTTTGAGAGTACTCAGAGCTGGACTAGAGCACCTCGCCATGGAGCTCATGTCTGTGCATTGCAGGAAATTAGGGAACTGGGGCTCTCAAGGTTCTGGGCTGGCTATTGAGGTGTAGCTGTGGTCTTCAGCCCAACATCCTTGATTCTTTCTTCCTCTCCCCCCTCTCTTTCTCTCTCAACACTTCAGTAACATCCTCAAACATATACTTCAAGTATATTTTCGAATTTTTGAGGCTTTTAAAGCCTCAGAACTGGCTGGAATCTCTAGGTATGTTTGTGTGCCTGAAAACCAACATACCCCCTCCCCCTTTCCTGCACCTCTCCCCCTCTCCCTGCCAATCCAAATCATAGCTAATATCTCTTTCCTATCCATCTACTTCATTTCTAGGAAGTTTGGGCCATTTTGGTCCAGTGGTTGAGTCTGGGCAGCAGTATGGCCTGTGGCCC